TAGGATTATAATGAGAATGGGCAAAAATTCACAAACACGCAAATATGTTCTGTATATTTCCAACTCACCTTACAAAGGCTAGGGAGCTTGAATTTAAAGCTTCACTTTAAATCTGTTGACATATTTATATATTTAATGAAAATGTGGACTAACTTTTACCTCTGAGTTTCTTCTGAAATAAGACTATTAATTTGGCACTCAAGTACTCATACTCTAATGCATATGTGATCATATTTTAGTATCTTTCCCTCTATTTCCTGGACAATATTAATTCCTCAATAAACACCTAAAAAAGTTCACCTGATCATTATCACATTGTTGTTTATGGGACTTTGTTGCGTTCACATTGGCTGCTCTATAATGAGATTGCCTGAGAATCCTTCACTGTCTATTCATTGCTTAATAAGAATATATGTTTAATATGTATATGCTGGTGCATTACACTATTAGGATATTTAATTACTTGTGCAATCTCAGACCCACTGGTGCCAACAGTTGACAGTTTTCGGCAGTGATGCGGTAATTGAATAGAAAGAGAAGCAAGACAATTAAAAGATAGTAATAACTACACTGGCTAGAATCACATGAAGAGGTCAGCTTTCAGCAGAAATAGGGGAGAATTGAATTGTAAACAGAGGCATCTATGTTCCCTTTGGAACAAAGAACAGATACACAAATAATCAATTTTAGGTGTGATCAAAAGAGTCAAACTTTACAGATTGGAGGTGCATTTCTTTGCACTACAATAGCTCTGCTGGCTTAATCAATTTGGATGTAATCAGAACAATCCAAAACTCTTCTTTTGTAGAGATTTTTTTTGTAATACAAAACTGCATTGATAAGATAGTTAAAATAAGTGAACAAAACTCAAGCAAGCGGGGCATTGGGTATTGGCATTTCTGTGATTGGAAAGCGATATGATGGGTATGGATTGATTTGGCAGAACTTATTGGTTTTGAATTATAGAAGTAGGCTATAAAAGGGGGGTGTGAACAGAAAAGCTGTAGAAAACTTCAGAGTCACTGAGATGATAGTGTTGGGGTATGGGTCAGAGGAATGTTATGAAGGCTCATAATATATTATTATTAATTGGGAATTTTGGTTTTAAGGTAAAAAAAATAGATTTTATTTTTCAGGTTTGTGAAGATCTCACTTGTCTTAAAGTTCAGAAAGTCATTTTGAACACTGAATTACTTCATTATCTTAGGAGTTGCAGATTGTGTTGAACATTCTGCAATCATCAGTGAACATCCCCACTTCTGACCTTATGATGAAGATAAGGTCATTAATGAAACACCTGAAAGATAGTACCTTGAAGAATTTCTGCAGTGGTCTCCTGGAGCTGAGATGTTTGACTTCCAACAAACACAACCATCATCCTTTGTGCTAGGTATGACTCCAATCAGTGAACAATTTTCCCCCTGATTCAAATATTGCTAGGATTCCTTGATGCCACACTGAGTCAAATTCAACCTTTGTTTTCAAGGACCATCATCCTAATTTCCTTCTTCAGATTAACACTCATATCCATGTTTGGACCAAATCTGCAATGAGATCAAGAGTTAAGTGGGCCTGGTGAAAACCAAACTAAGCATCAGTGTATGGGTTAATGTTGATTAAGTGTCTTTTGGTAGCACTCTTGATGACAGCTTCCATCACTTTGCTGATGACTGTGGAGTGATGCAGTGATAATTGGCCAGGTTGGATGTGTCATGCTTTTTGTGGACAGGATATGTACTCTGGACAATTATACTGTTATTTCTATTTGCATCTCTTTTCTTTACCCATTACGAAGACCTTTTGCCTTACATAACTATCAGCCATGCTGCATGGTTCTCTTATAAGTCAGGATGCTGTGGGTTCAAGGCCCACTTGGAAGATGTTGGTTAGCTACACTTGTTATTTGACAACTTTTTCAAGCATGCCCACATGCTGTCTGGGTTCATTAACAACTCAGACCATGAGATAAAAGACTAAGTGAAGGACTTGATCAATATCATTGCAAAACACAAGTTATTGCTATCACTTCTATTCAGATTCCATGGAGACGGCTGTAGAATTAAATATTTTCTAATGCAGTTTAGAGCTCTGTTGCCAATTCTGGTCAACCATGAAACTGCATGGCTCAGAAACTATTGTTGTTAATAAAATTCTCCAATATTGAGTTACATATAAACCAGTCTTTATTTAACGAATCCAACACTACTGCAGTTGGGTTTATGTTGAAGTAATCAGTTACTTTTTTCTACCTTGCTTGATTAATCCCAATGATTAATTGACTTGACTAAAATTAAAATGTGTGTCAAAATATAAAGCACCATTAATTTAACCAGTAGAACATTCAACACTCACTTAAAGCAATGCTATGTGTCAGCTATGACTCAAACATTAACACTTCACCTTTGAGCCAGAAAGTTGGTGGTTCACATCCTACTCCAAGACTTGAGCATAATAGTCTGGGTAGAGACTCTTGTGCAATGCTGAGGGAGTGCTGTTTTGTTCAAGGTATCACTATACTGCTGAGATGTTAAACCGAGGCCCTTTCCACCATCCTTCTGGGCAATGTAAAAGAACTATAGGAGGGTTACGCCAGGTGTCCAGGTCTACATTTACCCCTCAATCAACCTTACAATAAAACTTTGTTAGGTATGAAGGTTTGCTCTTCAAAAAAAAGTAATTAATTGATTGTAAGTGCTTTGATGATAACTTAATTTGATTTATTGTTGTCACTTGTACCAAAGAAAAGTGAAAAGATTTGTTTTGCGAGCAGTGCACGCAGATCATAACATACAAGGACATACAGACTTTCCACATCAAGCAAATGTTCACCTGCACATCTGCTAATGTGGTATACTGCATCCGCTGTACCCGTTGTGGCCTCCTCTACATCGGGGAAACCAAGCGGAGGCTTGGGGACCGCTTTGCAGAACACCTACGCTCGGTTCGCACTAAACAACTGCACCTCCCAGTCGTGAACCATTTCAACTCCCCCTCCCATTCCTCAGACGACATGTCCATTCTGGGCCTTCTGCAGTGCCACAACGATGCCACCCGAAGGTTGCAGGAACAGCACCTCGTTTTCCGCTTGGGAACCCTACAGCCCAATGATATCAATGTGGATTTCACAAGCTTCAAAATCTCCCCTCCCCCTACCGCATCCCAAAAACCAGTCCAGCTCGTCCTCGCCTCCCTAATCTGTTCTTCCTCCCACCTATCCCCTCCTCCCACCTCAAGCCGCTCCCCCATCTCCTACCTACTAACCTCATCCCGCCCCCTTGACCTGTCCGTCCTCCCTGGACTGACCTATCTCCTCCCTACCTCCCCACTTACACTCACCTTTAGTGGCTCCATCCCCGCCTCTTTGACCTGTCTGTTTCCTCTCCACCTATCTTCTCCTCTATCTATTTTCTATCCGCCTCCCCCCTCTTCCTATTTATTTCAGAACCGCCTTCCCCTCCCCCATTTCTAATGAAGGGTCTAGGCCCAAAACGTCAGCCTTCCTGCTCCTATGATGCTGCTTGGCCTGCTGTGTTCATCCAGCCCTGCACCTTGTTGTCTCAGATTTTCCAGCATCTGCAGTTCCTACTATCTCTCATACAGATCATAGTGTGGTTAGACAGTGTGGTGTATACAAGGTTACAGCTGCACAGGCAGTGCACAAAAGCAAGATCAACATTAGATTTGAAATGAGAGAGGTCAATTCAGCAGTCTAATAACAACAGGGAAAAAGCTGTTCTTGAATCTGCTGGCATGCGTGTTTAAACTTCTGTATCTTCTGCCTGACAGAAGAGGTTGGAAGAGAGTATAACCGGGGTGGGAGGGGTCTCTGATGATGTTGGCTGCCTTTCCTTGGCCACATGAAGTGTAGATGGAGTCCATAATGAAAGGATAATGAAAGGCATTATATAAATGCAATTAATATTTAAACATTTCAAAAATGCAAGATAGGTTAACATGTCTGGTCCATGATATTGATCCTTGCCTTACATTTTTATGCCTCATCACTGAAACAGATTATTTAGTGAATATCACATTCCTGTGCACAAATTGTCTGCTGCCTTGCCAACGTTATATCAACTTGGGTTGTCCATTGGTCAAGAAAGGTGATATAAAATGCAAGTTGTAGTTTCTTTTCTCAGACTTGGTATAAAATTACCAATACAGCATTGATTAGAAAGTATTAAAACATTGAATAATATGGAACGATCACTTAAGTCAGTCCATTGGACAGGATCAGGAAGACAAAAGTTGAGCAAAACAGCCCTAAAATGGTAGGGAATGTAGTGGTTTATGAACAGGAGAATTAAGTAGAGAAACCTAGGAGACAGTTGTTCAAACATGTAGATATTTACACCCACACACTTTCAAGCTGCAAAACCTTCCCACAAATTGTGGTGTACGGATATTTTAAACAACCGGCCAGACACATTGTGACATATCTTGGGCAGGTGGGGCTTGAACACAGACTTTCTGGCCCACAGTTAGGGACACTAGGATTGTGCCCAAGAATCCTTACTTGTGGTCTAGCGGTTTTCAATCAGCGCGCTGCAACAAAGTGAGAAGTGTGCTGCAAAATTTTCAGGAAGTAGCATTGCTTTACCTGAGCGTTGAGGCTGTGTGCATGCTTCTGATCTCTTCCAGAGCTTGGGTGTCTATTATTGAAGGCAGTATGTGCTGACACTACGTGCCCTTATCAATTGCACATGCACAAGCCTCCAGAGCTGTGCATGCGTAGACTCATGTGATATGAAACAGTGGGTGTTGCCATGGAATTGTTTGTCTCATTGAAGTGTGCTTTGATACTGCAAAGGTTGGGAACTGCTGCCTTACACTATCAGTGTACCTTGTTGATTTCTCTGACCTGACTTGAAGTTTTGTACATCAAATTTGTTCACTTTAGCCTTGTGTGTATAACCATTTCCAATAATAAGGTATTGTATTTGTCACAAATAAGAAAAGTAAAAGTTGTTCAAGATAAGACTTGTGATTGCCAGTATACGATGATTGGTGAATTTCTTGGACCAGAAGCAGTTACCAAACAGTAAAAAAAGACTTGCACTTATATTTTTGCATTTTCACATCCAACAGACCAGAAGCAATGTTTTCATTCTGCATTTGAGAAGGTTTTATTATTTTTAATACTAATAATTAGATGTTAATATGGAAGGCTAATGGAATATTGGCACTTATTTTTAAGGGGTTTGGAGTATAAGCATAGGGAAGTCTGACTGCAACTGTACAATGTGCTGGTGAGACCACATCTGGAATACTGAGAGGGGAGTTCAAAACTATAGGGCGTAGGTTTCAGGTGAAAGGGAAAGGTTCAAGAGGGACCTAAGGGCAACATTTTCACGCAGAGGGTAGTGTGTGTATGGAACAGCTGCCAGAGGAAATGGTGGAGATTGGTACAATTACAACATTTAAAAGGCATCTGGATGGGTACAAGAATAGGAAGGGTTTAAAGGGAGATGTTCCAAATGCTGGCAAGTGGGACTAGATTAATTTAGGATATCTGGTTAGCATGGACGAGTTGGTCCGAAGAGTCTGTTTCCATGCTGTACAGGTCTGACTCTACTGTGAGCAGTTTTGATCCCCTTATTTAAGGAAAGATATTATCTCATTAGACACAGTTCAGAGAAGGTTCACTAGGATGATCCCTGGTATTGAGGGTTTGTCTGATGGGCAAAGGCTAAATAGGTTGGGAATCAATTCATTGGAATTTAGAAGAATGAGAGGTGATCTCATTGAAACATATAGGAATCTCAAGGGGCTTGATCGGGTAAATGCTGAGAGGATGTTTCCCCTCATGGGAGACTCTAGGACCAGAGGATATATTCTCAGAATAAAGGGGTGTCAATTCAAAACTGAGATGAAGAGGAATTTCTTCTCTCAGAGTTGTGGATCTTTGGAACTCCTTGCCACAGAGAGCTGTGGGGACAGAGCACTTGTGTATATTTGAGGCTGAGATAGATAAATTCTTGATTGATAGGGGAATCAAAGGTCACGAGAAGAGATAGGAACATGGACATGAGGGATGTTAGATCAGCCATAATCCTATTGAATGATGGAGCAAGCTCAGGGGGACCAAATCGCTACTCTTGTTCCTATTTCTTATGGTCTTGTTATGATCTTATGGAAACTGTCATGCATTGTTAAATGTCAAGAACTTACCAGTTTGCATAAATATAGGCAAGTTATTTGGATTGTGCCCTAATCAGGAAGTGAATGCTTTGTTGTTAGTGTTAATCTATGTTTACATGGTTAAAATGTCAATGAAGCTCAACTGAGGTATGAATGCTCATCAAATACATTAATTAGAACTGTATCTTTGAAAATGATTTGTGAGCTGAAATATGATGCCATTTTAGCACAATATGCTTCATTCAGTTAACTTAGATTCTACAATTAGTATTTGAATTAGGAATTGCGTCATTCATGTGCAAACATCACAGAATGCAGCATGGTAAACATAAGATTGTTTCCTCTGAACAATTTCCAGATCAATTCTGAATAAAAAGTACTGAAACATATAATTGTTTTCTTAAGTTCCGGTACCATCACCAATTTTGCATTGGTGCTTCTGTGTTTCATTTTCATTCATGGGATTCATAGGCCATCAATCATCCATAATTGTCCTGAAGATGGTGATGAGCTGCCTCTTTAAACAGGTGCAGTCATAGAGTCATACGGCATAGAAACAGATCTTTTGGTCCAACTTGTCCATGCCAAGTTTCCCAAACTATACCAGTCCCATTTGCTTGCGTTTGGCTCCTTTCCTACTCATGTACCTGCCCAAATGTCTTTTAAATGTTGTAACTGTACCTGCATCTACCACTAACTTTGGCCGTTTATTCCACATATGAATCACCTTCTGTACAAAAAAGTTGCCCCTCAGGTCCCTTTTAAATCTTTCTCCTCCCATCTTCAAAATACGCAGCCTGGTTTTGAACTCCCCCCAACCCTAGGGAAAAGACCTTTGCTATTCACCTTATCTATGCTCCTCATGATATTATAAATGTCTAAAAGGTCATCCCTCAACCTCCAGTGAAAAAGGTCCCAGCCTATCCAGCATCTCCTTACAACTCAAGCCTTCCAGTCCTGGTAACATCCTTAGAATAAAATCCCTACAGTGTGGAAACAGGCCGTTCGGCCCAACAAGTCCACACCAACTATCAGAGCATCCCACCCAGACCCATCCCCCACCTAATCTATACATCCCTAAACACTACGGGCAACTTAGCACAGCCAATCCGCCTAATCTGCACATTTTTGGACTGTGGAAGGAAACCAGAGTACCCGGAGGAAACCCACGCAGAGATGGGGAGCATGTGCAAACTCCACACAGACAGTTGCCTGAGGGTGGAATCGAATCCGGATCCCTGGCGCTGTGAGGCAGCAGTGCTAACCACTGAGCCACCATGTCGCCCAAGGATATCCTTGTAAATCTTTTATGCACCCTCTCCAATTTAATAATATTCTTCCTATAGCAGGGTTACCAGAACTGTACACAGTACTCCAAAAGTGGCCTCATCAACATCCTTTACTACCGCAACATGATGTCTCAATGCCTATACTCAATGGTCTGAGCAATGAAGGCAGGCATGCCGAATGCCTTCTTTACCATCCTGTTGCAACTTTCAAACAACCTGAACCCCTAGGTCTCTCTGTTCGACAGCACTTCCCAGGGCCCTATCATTAACTGTGTAAGTTCTGCCCTTGTTTGTCTTACAAAAATGAAATACCTTGTATTTATCTAAATTAAACTCCAGCTGCCACTCCTGGGCCCATTGGTCCAATTGATCAAGACCTCTTTGTCATCTTAGATAACCTTCTTCACTGTCGACCATACCACCAACGTTGGTGTCATCCACAGACTTACTAATCATGCTTCCTAAATTCCCATCGAAATTGTTTATATAAATGACAAACACCAGTGGACTAATCACTGATCCCTGCAGAACACCACTGGTCATAGGCCTCCAGTCCGAAAAAAATACCCTTCTCCACCACCCTCTATCTCCTACTGTCAAGCCAATTTTGTATTCAATTGGCAAGCTCTCCCTGAATCACATGTGATCTACCATGAAGAACCTTGTCAAAGTCTTTTGACACTGCAATAGTGAAGGAATAGCGATGCAGTTCCAAGTCTGGATGGTGTGTGGCTTGGCGAGAAACTTGTAGGTGGTTGTGTTCTAATGCATCTGCTGCCCCTGTCCTTCTGAATGGTAGAGGTCTCAAGTTTGATAACTGCTGTCAAAAAAATTTTGGGTGAGTTCTGCACATCTTGTAGATGGTACACACTGTTGCCACTGTGTTTCAGTGGTAAAGGGAATGAATGCAGAAGGTGATGGGTGTGGTGCTTTCATGGAATCCCTACATTGCAGAAAGAGGCCATTTGGCCTATTGAGTCTGCACCAAACCTCCGAAGAGCATCCCATCAGACCCTCTTTATCTCTGTCATCCCACATTTACCATGGCTAATAACCCCCCTAGCCTGGACACCCATGGATATCACAGGACAATTTAAAATAGTCAATCCACATAACCTGCACTGCTTTGCAATGTGGAAGCAAACCGGAGCACCCAGAGAAAACCCATGCAGACACGGGAAGAACGCGCAAACTCCACACAGACAGTTACCCAAGGATGGATTCAAACCTGAGATCCTGGTGCTGTGAGGTAGCAGTGCTTACCACTGAGCCACTGTGCCACTTTGTCCTGGTATTTGTTTGTAAATATGTTCAATTATTATTTTTAATATGAACATGATGGTCAGTCAATGTGATGTCTACTGCCTTTCAGAATTGACAGCATTACTAAAATGGCTTGGATTTTGTGGTAAGAGGCAAAGCATCGGGTAAAGTGAGATAGAATCATTAGGGTGAGGGCAAGAGTGCTTAAGGAGCATAATGCAGGGTTAGACAAGAAGCATTAGCAGCAGGACAAGGGGCAGAGAGAGAGAGAGACAGTGAAAGTGTGGGAAGGAGGGTATAGTAGGAGAATGTCGGGAACAAGATAACGGGTAGAGTGAGAGAAACAGGAACGCAGCTAATGGTAAAGGGGACAGCTGGCATGAGGGACAAATGAAGCTTAGCACCTGTACTGTGAAGGGGTTGGTTGGCAACTATGTTCAGTTGAGCACAGGCAACGTGAGGGACAGGGATTGATTGGGAACGAGGGGTAGGGGAATCATTGGCAGTGCAACAGGCAAGCATTTAACTGGCAGCAGCAGCGTGACGGGCAGTGATTTAGGAGCATGATGGACAGGACATGGGGGAGGGGGGCAGTTAGCAGTGTGAGGGGATGTCGGGGGGCAGTTAGCAGTGTGAGGGGATGTCGGGAGGCAGTTAGCAGTGTGAGGGGATGTCGGGGGGCAGTTGGCAGTGTGAGGGGATGTCGGGAGGCAGTTGGCAGTGTGAGGGGATGTCAGGGGGCAGTTGGCAGCGTGAGGGGATGTCGGGAGGCAGTTGGCAGTGTGAGGGGATGTCGGGAGGCAGTTGGCAATGTGAGGGGATGTCGGGGGGCAGTTGGCAGTGTGA